GATTTATTTCATCAGCTATACCAGATTCTGTACAAAGTTTGATCTCATCAACAAGAAATAAATTTGGTGAGATGCTCAGTGAAGATGATGGAAAACATGAACCGGATTTGCAATTTACAATGAAGACGGAAGAAATGATAGGAGATGATGGACGTAGATATGAGGTTCATACCGAGAGTTACAGCATTTCTAGTGGAAATGATAGGTTATCATCAGATTTCGGCGATACTAAAGAATTTTTAGCCGGTGATGCTGATAAATTTAAGAGTCATGATGATAATTTAACTGGTGGATCTATTGATACTCATCATTCTACCGAAACTAATATCACCACTATTACAACAGTGACAAATCAAGGTGATAAGGACACCAAAAAACATCAAGATGGACTGTTTGGAGACAAAAAAAGTACCGATGATCTTGATTTTGAATTCATTCATTAAACTTTTTTTTTATCAAAAAAATGCATAAATCGAAAGAAAAATTGACGTAAATCAAGCAAAAAAGAACTGAAAAAAAAAAAAAAAAACAATATCAAATTTCGTAAATGACTTGAAAAAGAAAAAGGAACTGCAGTTTTTAAATTCAATAAAATACAACGCTAATATTTACATGGAAATATACCACTGATTGTATATTTTAATTAAAACTAATTTGCTTTATTTATTTAATGTTTTTGCTAAGAAATAAATTTTTTTTTCTTTTTAAAATAAAAAGAAATACAAATAAGCGCAATAAATTATTCAGTAAACAATTAAGGATTAGACGCAACATTATACAAAGAGATATATTCTGTCAAACAAAAATATGTAATAATTTATTCTTCTTCAGCTTTTATTTGTTTATTCTTTTCTTTCTTTCTTTCTTCTCTGTTTTTTTCTTTAAATTGACCATCTTTAAATTTTACTGTATATCATAATATCAATATTCCATATTATAGTAGTATATTATTAGTATTATTGAATCTGATATTTTAATTATCACCATTCACTCTCTTTTTTCCGGCTTCTTCCGTTTTTTTATTGTTTAATCAAATTAGCTTCATTATCTTTTCTTTATGCTGTTTAGCAAAATTTGTAGCTTCTTCTTTTCATATTTCCTAATTATGTTAAAAAAAGCACTTTATTTTGAGTTTCATTTATATTTTCACAGATTTTCATGATTTTCATTCAGAAATTCTCAGACCATTAAGAGAGAAAAACAAAAAAAAAAAAAACAGAAAACCGGAATTAATATGGATAATATACTTTTTCAAATCAGGAATGATGCAATCTATGGCTACCATACGGCTTCATTAATTTCTTCCTAGTGATGTATACCTTTGCTTGCTTGAGCTTGATGTCATCTAGCAAATATACATTGTCAACATATTCAAAACTGAACAGCGCATTCAGTATCAGAGATGAGCGCAGTTGACAGAATTCAATATCAGAGATAAGCGCAGTTTGACAGCATTAACAAAATGATGCGAACTATACGAAACGACATGAATAAAAGGTAAATTTCAAAATGGTATTTTTCAGTAGTGGCTGTAACAATGAAATAATTGCAGTAACTTTCATATGGACAATTTCAGGTAAGTGATAATTAATCAGTAAGGTAATCTAACATAATTTACAACATTTTAAGGAAATCCATATACGAATTCTAGTAAAATTTTTGTGATATTATTGAGTAGCTTTTTCAAAAATTTCTAATTTTTAGATAGATTTAAGACAAATTTTAATTTTTAATTTATTTAAAAAATTTTCACTTTTTTTTTAAAACCTTTAACCTAAGTCTTTATGTAGGTAATAATATGTTTATTAATAATTAAAGCGTTAAATTTATCATAGAATTTCAAATTTTTAATTTAGAAGAAGTTTATTTTTTATTTTTTCAATAGTCAAATATTACATTCCGGTACTTTTAATAATCATCATTGATAATGGTGATAAAAAGCAATGTGATACAGAATTTTTTTCTTTGTTGGATAATATTTTTTGCCCATTAGTTGATATTTTATTTGAAGCAAAATTTAAGTCGGCTTAATTTATTCTTTTTTTTTCTTCTTTCTTCCTTCTTCCTTTTTTTTGAATAATGTTTAATTATACAGAGTGTGCAGAAATAATCAATCTACCTTGGGAAAAAAAGAAGAAATTTGATTTCAATAATTTTTCTTTCTGACATGACAGTAAGATAGTAAAAAATTAGTATTTGAAAATATCAAAATTATTTCATCGACTAGAAAAAAAAAAGAATGAAATCAGTATTGGTAAATATTATTAAAAAATATTAAAATTAATGCTAATATTAAATTTTACTAATATTGATTAATTTTTTACCATTTTACAAATATTTATTGTCAAAATTATGCCTAATTTTTCATACTTAATTTTAAAAACAAATATATTATCTGATTTCTTTCTTTCTTTTTTTTCCTCATTAATAAAATAAAATAAATCTTATTTCTTAAACAATAGTCAAATTATACGGCAATATACAATCGATTTATTATTTGAAATAACAATATTATATTTTTAGCAATTACATATCATTTTCCAACCACAAATGACTCAAAATTATCTCAAATTTTTTTGCCACTCTGTATTAATTTGCAAATTCATGCAAATAACATGCATCATTATTATATTCTCTCATATATAATTATTATTTATTATTTTTTTTTGCATAGTGATAGAAATGCTACTAAACAAAATATTTGCTCCGTACTTTCTCTTTTGTTTTATTGCTTATACAAAATTATTTTCTTTCCTTATATATTTGCATATGTCATTTTAATAGAAGTATTATTTAAAAGAAATAAAATTTAAAGTAGTTGATCCAAATATAGAAAAAAAAAAAGAGTTAAATTAACTATTCCTCTCTTTCATCTTTTCATATTTCTATTATTTATATTATGTTCAAAAAAAATCTATGCCAAACGAGGATTAATAACAAAATAACAAAAAAACAAAAAAACCGAACAAAAACAAACAAAAAATGATTTTAAAATAACACTGATAATATATGAGTCAACTGATCATTGCTTTTGTAATTTTTTTTTCTTCAAAATTTTATTTTATCAGTATATTTTCATCATTGTAATTTATATTATAATGATGTCATCAAACATTAACCAACTGGTTGTTTACAGATGACAGTTTTAATGCCTTGAATAATGAGATTTCAAATTTCCAAATTTGAAATTAGTTTAGAAATTGTTTTAAAACATCAAATATTACTATGTGAAATGCTTTTAAAACTTTAAACTAAAGATCGATGAACAATAAAATAATGATGCTTGATGATGAAGTTTCCAAATGTCATACAATAAATTCAAATTTCATGAAACATCTTAACAATCTGATTAAAAATGTTTGATTCAAAAAATTTATTGCCTAAGATATTTTTTGCTTTCGTAAAATTTCAAAGTTATTTGCGAAATTAATGAAATGAATGAGAATCAAATAATGAAATATCCTAGTTTGTTCTATTTCGTTTTGTTTCTGAAACTATTTGCATTATATTTTATCGTTTTCTTTTATCAAAATACTCTGATTGATGGGTCAGTTTTAAAAGCTGGTAGTTGTGAACAGATGGAATTAAATTCGTTCTTATGCTGACTTAAAATTTATTTTAGAGCATATTTTGATGGATGTTTCTTTTGCTTTGTTTCTTGATGATAGCACTTAGCTTGTTATTTTCATTTCAAATGTTGTTTTCGCATAAAAATTTCTCTTAAATATGTAATAAATTATGCTTCAGATAATAAATTTTATTGCAATTTATGCCAATCTAAGAGTTCATTTTTGAAAATTATCATTCACGTTTACAATACTCAAAAGTGTACGTGTACATGTATTCACGTACAAAATTTTATCATAATTTTATGCTTACTTTTTAAGCTGCTATTACACTGAATGCAAAATAAAACACACAACTACTGTTACATATATGAAAATTAAGATAAATGCAAATGCATTTTTGATATGCAAAACATTTTTAACGGAAGAAAACTTATTTATAATAAATATTACATCGCAAGTAATCAAACTCGCTGAATGTTTAAATATTAATGAAATTAAGAAATTAGTATAATTTATTAGTTTAATGAAATTGCAATAAGGTTTTATTAAAGGCTAATAACAACAAAGATCCATTCCTGCATTTATACAAAAAGTTTGAGTTAGTCATTTTTTTTTTCTAATCTAATTAACATTTATTATTTCAAAATTTCACTGAAACAATTGCTATGAATTGCTAAAATACATGCAATCTCTTTGGCTTTTTCTAATTAACAATTGTTAGTTCTATTTGAATGCATTTTACATTCGAATAGAGCAAAACAAACTATTCAAATTTGTTTACTTGAAATAATGAAATTATATATACATATATATGTATGTGGAAATTTTAAAAATGAAATTTTAATTTAATCAACAAAAGTTACAATATTACGAATGAATCCATTTTGCTTGCTAGTATAGCACAAATTTATTCATTTTCACGTCTCATTAAAAAAAATTGTAATCAAATTTCAATGTTTAATATTATATTTTTTTTTTTTTTTTTTTTTTTTTTAGAACCTTTTCTTTTAAGTTTTAAAGATTTCGAATTCAAAATTTTATTATTAAACTAAAACAATTTTATTTATTGCATAATCTTTTATTCACCTTCATAAACTTTCCTTTGCTATACTAATAAGCAAAATTTCGTCCTTTATTAATGAAAATCATATACAAAATTTATAATATATCCATTAAACATTCATCACTTCTTTTTTTTTTTTCTTTTCACTATAAATTTACAATGCAAATGAGAAATACTTTGTAAAAAATAGAAAATGAAAGTTTCCTTTTTTTTTTTTTTTTGCTATTGGTGACGCAGGTTTCAATGATTTAAATTTGAAATATAAATAAATGATAATGGAATTTGAATAGAAATTTATCTGATGCAATATTTATCAATCTATTGCTTCGTCATATTTGTCTGATTAATTTTATCGCATCGTACTTTCTTCAATTTGCCACTTCTGATCTATGTGACTGTCGTACTTCTTTAAATCAAAATTAATTAAGCATTACTATTGTAAAAAATATAAGTCAAATTATAATTGTTAGTGATCAAATTGTGAAAATATTATAAAATTACAAAGCAAAATAATTTTAGAGCAAAAAAAAAGTTCAGCGATAGAGTCAATCTTTCATTTCAGGTATTCCTCATAACTAAAAGATTATTCTGTCATCGTTTATTGAAGAATTAGCATGGAAATTTCAGTTGATAATTTAAAAATAGAATATATTGAAAAAAGAAAAAGATGAAAGTTATTCAAAGCCTAATTATCAATTAAAGCTGATTATGATCATTTAATACTGATAAATAAGATGATTATTTTGATTCAACGAGAGAAAATATTTTGATTGTCATTTTATTTAGTAAATATTCATTTGTTAAAACAAGGCGATTAATTCATTTAATGCGTTTTTGTAAAAAATGATAATTTAAGTTTGAATTTATCTAATTTTTAAATACACTGAATAAGCATATTTCGAGAAGAGAAATTTGATGAAAAAAAGAAAAAAATATTTATATGGATGTATCTTACCAGTGATAGCTTCACGAGATATACTTTGTTTTTTTAGTGCAAGCACCGGTTTTTCAGGATTTGCTTCATTGAGAATAATGCCTAATTCCGGAAGTACTTTATCTCGTATGCGATCACATTCCTACAAATTCAGTAAATAAAATAAATAGCATATAAATTTTATAGGATTGGAAGTTACATAAAACTAAAAAGATAGATGATGGAAGTGTAAAATGGATGTAAGTATAAATTTATAAATTATTTAGAAAATTATTTATTTAACAGAATATCGGATATAATGTAATCATATTTTGCTACTTAAACTTAGTAATTAAATCATAATTAATTTTCATATTATGAGTTAATATTTGAAATTATACCCATAGAAAATTCAAGAAAAAGAACGAAGAAGAAAGAACTATCATATCCAATAAAATAATTTAGTAAGTGTTGAATCTGGGTTCGATCAATGATACAATATGAAAACTTTGCAATAAATGGTTGAAAATGATCATTTGATATTTAATTTAAATTATAACGTTTAAAATTGAAATTTAATTAAATTTTACCAATTTTTAAACTTTTTTTCGCTGTTTTTTTCCTTTCACCTATCCTTGCTAAAATTCCCTTTCATGTTAAATTTATTGAAAGCGTTAAATTTGCTGAAATTTTTTTATTCCTGAACAAGATCATATCATACTGATTTCACTGCTTTTTATAACTTTTTTTGATATCAATAATTTATACGAGAATTTTCTATATTGATTAAACTTTCAAGATAATCACCTTAATGATATCGTTAACATTCCGTTGCTGAGCCAATTCCGAAATGGTTTCACGGAAGACAGTTAGTGCGCTAACGTAAGGCATAATTAGCTCATGAGCTGAAGTGCTCGATGAAGGACTGCAAATTACTATCTCACTGAAAGAGATAACATGTTATCATCAGTGGTGATAAAGATGAGTGACATCATTTACACATGAGAAATGATAAAGAGAAAAGCTGATAAGGCAAATTTATGACAATAAATAATTTTTGCATTCATCAAATTTAGCATATTTAACAAATTGCAATTTCATTTTTTCTTCCTTTTTTTTTTCTTTTGCCACTGAAATTTTAATTTAAATTGCACAAACTATTACAAAAGGGGAAAAAAAAGAATTTTCAAAATTAGTAAATGAGCATTTTGTGCAAAAAAACAAACCTGAAATCAGCAGAGAAAATATTATCTATGTCTTTCGATGTAGTACCAAATACTTTTAATAATGGAGTCATATAAGCAGCAATATTTCGTAGCAGTAAACAATTCGGAATTTTATTATCGTCTTCCTCAAAAAGTAATGAATTTTTTTTTTTATTAACTGAAAAATCAATTTTTTTTTTAACTGAAAAATCTTTAAAAAAGTTTTATCCTCTTATCTGTTCTAAATTGGCATTTGTTCATTCATATATATTATTGCATCTTTGAACTTTTACTTTTTTATCATCCTAACCATATTCAATTTTTAAATTTTCAATTCAGGTTACACTTTTACTAATTTAATTTTGATTATACTTTAAACTAATATAATTTGATGTCTAATATAATTTGATGCATTAATACGAAAATAAAAATTACTCTCAATTTCTTAAAGGAGCATTTAGTAAAGTAAGTAATGAGAGTTATTATGTTTTAAACTTAAAAAAAGATGAAATTTAGTCAATTTCATCCCTTTGAATGCTTAAATCTTATATTATCCCATATCATTTATTAATGTAATGGACTGTTTTCCAATTATTTACAAAATAATTAACAAATTTTTAATGAAACAAATTACTACTAACCATTTCATTAATATATTCTTCTCCGAGATCAATTATTTGACATAATTTTTCAGCAATAATTTTTATATCAATAGTATTACACAATGCCGCATTTAATTGAGTTTTAATCTTGAAAAACTCATCCATTAATTGCAATTCTCTTTTGTCATATTTTTGATAACCCTGTAAGATAATTTTCGTGCAAATCACAAAATGAAATTTTATTATAAATCAGTTAAATTATTATCTAATCAGTATCTTTAAGTATGACAAAAAAATAAATTACTATTTATGATAATTGTAAGCATTATCATCATTAATTTATTATTTAGCAGTCTTCTTGTTGCATTTTCATTGAAGCATGAAATACATAAATAATGAAAAGTAATTGATGTAATTTATATGAAAAAAAGAAAGTCTATAAATTTAATTAAGTAATATTGAATTGAATAAATGAAAATTTAAGTAATTAATAAATATTGGATGAAATTAAAAGAGAGAAAAAAAAAAGGAAATAAATAGAAAAAACCTCGTTGATATCTGGCTTGTAATATAGTCGAATATATTTTCTAACTAGAAGAAGAAAATCATTTGCAATTTTTTCAAAGTCTGTTGATGTATTCATTATTTGTACACTTTTCGAATGACAGCAAAAATTTAATCACTGAAAATTTATTAAAATTTCATGTAAAAATTATAACAAAAATTTAGATTCTATAATTATTAACGACGAAACATTGAATGAATTTTTTTTTGCAAAATAATTTAACATTTTTAAATGTTAACAAAACAAAAAAAAAATTTTTTTTATAACGAAAAAAAGGAAGCAAAAATAAGATTAATAATTGATGAATACAATCTATAGGCCAGAAGTATATATATAAAGTTAGAAGGAAGAACAATTAAAAAATATTTTTAATTTTGAAAAATGTAAAATTAAAAATGTTGAGTTAAAAAATGATGGAAATTTTAAAACAACAATCCAAATGAAAAGTATGCATGCGACAAAACATCCATCACTCATCTTCAGAAGTCTTCAAAAAAGTACAGTGTTAAAAGATAGCATTATTGATTAAATTTTTATAACAGTTGCGCATCACGCAATGCACAAACAAATGACATTTTCGCTTCAAATCATTTAAATTTGAAAACTTAATTGGAAGATAAATGAGCAGAAAATTAGGTGAATATATTTATATATGATAATGAAATGCATATAAATATATACATGTAACTGCATGCTTGCATTGCATGCATAGGTAATAAATACATGCACTCTTCTTTGTGACAAAAAAACAAACACTTTTTTTAAAAATTTTATCATTAGAAAAAAAAAAAAAAAAAAGATGAGGAAAATTGATTGCACTAGAGATATTATTCATAGAATAAACGAGTTTAATAGGTGCGGTATGTATGAACTTGTGCAGTTCCATTTTGAGCGGAAACATTTGAATTTGTTTAAGAAAGGGAGCAATCCAATGAAGTATGATAAATGATTATATGTCAGCGTACTGATAAATTTAGTAATATCATATCTGATAATCAACATTTTAATTCGTACTACATAACATCAAAAAGAAAAAGGTTAATGATAATAAAATTTGTAAATGCTCCTTTTTCTCTTCAAATTTAAATTAATTTTTTTCTTTTTCAACTGAATTCAGAATTTGCTAGCAATAATTTGATAGCATTTAGTTGAAATAGATTTTTGAGTATTTGATTTAAAGACAAAAAAAAAAAAAAGTTATTGTTGATTACTCTTAATAATAAGACAACAAATAGTGGTAGAAATAGTTAAATTTAAGCTAAAGATTAAATTTAGTCTTTTCAGGCTGATATAATTTCACAAATTTTTTTCGATCATTGCTTAACTCGCATTATTAACCTTAGAAAAAGAAAAAGGTTAATGATAGTAAAATTTGCAAATATTTGTTTTTCAATAAGTAGATTTCTTGCTATTACATAACTATTCCAAAGTAAGTAATTAATAAACTTATTAAAAAATAATAGATAGACACGGTGTAATTATTAAACTGATCATTAAACCTTTAGAGAATAGGTAAACAAATTAATTGCTATAATGATTAAATAAAATGTTATGAGTTGTGGATGGAATAAAAAAAAAAAAAAGAAGAAAGAAGAATTTGGTATGATCAATACGTAAAGTAAGTTTTGTTTCGTTTTGAAACAAATTTCTTATGTTAGCATTTTTTTTTCCTTCCTTTTTTTTCAAAATTTTATTTCAAATTTGACAATTTACATCTATTTATTATGTTTTATATGTTTTGTTATTGCTTTATTATAATTTTTGTTAAATATTTTAAGATTGAAAAATTTTGAATACTTTTCTACTGAAAGACTTGATAATGTTATATCTTTCAAAATTTCATGTGTTTCTTATGGGAAATAATTTGAAAACTGAGAAAATTTTTTGTTGCATTATTGTATGTTATAAAAATTATTTTAGTATGCGTATATTTAGGTTTAACATTAATATTATTTCACGTAGTGCGTAATATTATTCGTCAAAAAATACATTCAAATTGATAATCATTGTGCACGTGTAAAAAAAAAAAACGTTGTTACGCTATGATAGCGTAATATTTGAAATTTAAAAGTAATATCATTTCAAAAATTTCTTGTACGATTTTAAAACATATAAGAATGAATAAGCCAATTCCACTCAAAAAGAAAAAAAAAAAAAAACATGCTGAAAAATCATTGTTTTTTTTCTTCAAGTATTCCTGAAAGCTACTATTTGATAATAAATCGTTATGATTAAATTGATTAAATACTGATAAGAAATGATTACAAAAAATGAAGAAAACTCAATAAGTATACGAAAGGATTGAGATCAAATTAGGTAATAAAAATGTCACTTCTGTTTTAAGTGAGTCATTTTGATATTATCAATAACATAAAAGATATTTCAAAAAAAAAAAAAAAAAGACCAACGAAAATGAAGCGACTGAACATCAATTTTATTTGTTCAATCGTATAGATGTCGCAATGGTTACTTTAAAATTAGTTTCATTATTTTTTCATTTTTTTTTTTTTGTCATCCATACTTTTTTCTCCTTTTTCCTTTTTTTTTTTTTTTGCTTTTCCCCATAAAAAGGTCAACTATTTTCAATTTTCAATAAACAAGAAAAAAGTAAAAAGAAAAGAAAAGATTTCTAATATGAAGCAATTGATAAATGACCACTGATCTAATCGAACGAAATTTTTTGACTTTAAATACTTTATTCTTTGAAAAATATCAAATTAATGAATTTTTCTCTTTTTTTGTTCAATTTTTCGTTTTTTTCTTCGTTTCGAATGGGAAAAGGCAAGAATAACAAAGAAAATGAAAAAAAAAAAAAAAAAAAAAGGAACAAATTCCCCTAGAAAAACAAATTCCGAAAATTTTGTTTGATTATATTTTCGGAAAAGCTTTTCAACAATGGATTGCGCAATATACAAAAATTTTGATGAAAATATTTTTGGGATTTCTTTCGTTTTTAGCCACAGTTTAGAAGATCACAAATGTCGCAATTCATAATTACTTTACATGAAAGGTCAATGTACAATACACTCTCCCTTCTTTTCTTTCTTATTTATTCAAATTAATATTTTAAGTTCTAAATCGATAATTAAATTTAGAAAGAAAAAAGAGTACCAAATTAAGTTTTTCCAAAAATGCTGCAACAAGAAATTTCAGAATTGTCCTAAACTGGAATATTATTAACCAGAACAAAAATGCAACCGTTGAAGAAAATAAATGTTTCAAACATTTCTAAATATTTCTGTATGATTCACACCAAAAATATCAATATATCATTTATTTCAAGAAATCAATAAAGATTTAACTCATATATCAAAAATATCTCGTCATTTTATTTCCTTAAATAATTTGTTGAAACTACTCAAATAATTCCAGAAATTAGTGAAATTTAAAATTTTTTAATTTCATCAAAATAATTGAATTTTGGAAAAAAACATTTGGCATTTAGGGATAAATTTCTAAATCAAAAAGAAACCTTTGTCATTTTTGTTCTTGTACCCATTGAAAATGATCAAAAAACAATAGCAAAGATCTGATTAATAAATAATTAACAGACAATGTTGTTAGCTAATAAGAAGGAAAATGGAATATGCGCTTTTGTCACAATAGAATAATGCTATCATCTAATACGAAAGGTCACTATGGAGAATATGATGATAACAGTGATTTATAGTGATAAATTATATCCATATAATGCTTATATTATTAAATAAATTAATGCTTAAGAATATGAAAAAAAAAAAAAATTTCTTTTTTAGATTTGGCATTTTTCAGTAAATCTAATAAATTCCATCAATAATGAAATCATAAAAAAGCATAAGTTTAATCTAAGAGAAAACTTACTGATCTATTTGGTCTAATAAAAGAATAAACGATAGTATATTTAGCAGTGCAATTAAAAGGAATGTTTAAATTGTTGACATAGCATTGAATGATTGGTCATTTTTGGTCAGTCATGTTTTCCTGACTGACAATCTTATAATGATTACTGCCTTTTTTTTTTTTTTGAAATTCTTCAAAATTTGAAGAAGATAAAAGGCAAATGCATGACATACATCAATACAGTACACACTTAAAACTTTTCAGAATTTCAAAAATGACAATTTCGTGACAATCCCATGTTTGTTTAAAATCATATCAAGAAGTGATAATAGAATGGAGTATGAGGAGATGTTTAGAGAGACGAAGGATGAGATAAGGAATATAGGAGATGAGGAAGATGCAGGAATAGATGAAATTTTCAAAATATGATGTAATTAGATAGAAGCATTTGTTAATTGCTATTTAAATAGTAGTGGTAATGATGAAGAACATGAGGAAGTTTTTTTTCTTCTTCTTTTGTTTTAATCGAAGAGAGTACAAAGGTTGATGCGATGAGAGAGAGAATGTTGTAAATGTTGAGAGGAACAGCAGGAAAAGTGCAGCATGTAATATATATTTATTGTATTCAGTGATTGAAAGAGGAAGAAATGTGATGCGACAAAGTGTTATTTCTCAAATTTTACATTATAACTGGTTCGTTCCGGAATTGCTAATAGTTTCTGACAGATTGAATGATATAGATGTTAACACGTTGTTTCACGTTATTGGTACGCTAGTTGTAATTGTTAGAACGTGAGGAATTGCTAGCATGTAGCAGTAGTTTTATATGAATTAAAACTAAACATTAGTGGAAATTTAAATTGTCAGAAATTTATAAAATGGAAAAAGGAAAAAGAGTGATGATAGACGTGTTTTATGTTTATATCAATTTCGTGCAATTTAATACATATTACAGCATGAAATTATTGGTAAAATTATTGGAAAACAAGTCTCATCTATGCATATTTGGTATTACATCTAGACGAATGCTCTCACAGTCTATTGCAGTATATTCCAGATATGATCCAAGAGTATTTCGGGAACCAATCGTAGATTTGGAACAGGTTATTCCTTTTTTTTTTTTTTTTTTTTTTGAGACAGTTATTAGTGGGTTTTATATATTCTGATCATGTTAGTAATCATTTTGCTTTACTAAATATGATATCTATTACTGCTGTAAACTTGTTTATTCATTTCAAGTTTATCAAAATAGGTTGCTTGACTTTTGTTATTTTCTGCAATTTTCGCTTTTTTTTTTTATAGCAGCTTCTCACTGAATAATCTACCTCTTATTTGGATACGAAAGGTGATCTAGTATATAAGACGATGTGAAGGGATTTTATATCCTTAAGATTATGTCATTTTCATCAAGCTGTGTGGGTTAGCGAATTGAAAGGTTATCAAACCTTATGGTCATTTTCAGCTTAATCAACCGCTGGATCCAGACGATGATCGCCGGTACTGCTACATAAAAGCAATGACTAGTGTTCAGACACCAGTATTTTATCGAAATGCCGTGATAGATAGGTTGATTAATGTGTGTATGCTACGTGGAATGAAAGGTTAGTCAAATTATTCCATTAATCAAATGAAAATTCTTAATGGCATTCTGAAATTTCCCCTTACATTCTTTTTTCCATTATTAATCTGGATTTTATCTCTTCACTCTTCCCTGTTTTATTTTGAAATCAGATCTTCTGAAAATTTGACTTTTAGAATTAATCTTGTCTAACACTGCTGTTTGACTCTTTGGCAGGTTAGAGTCTGTCGTGGATGTTAATACCTTAATTGGTACCAATATGAGGTCTTTTCTATCGTTTTTGTAATGTGAGATAGTTTTGTCTACCCTTCGGAGTTCAGTAATGTCCGAAATCTGTATAAGAGTTTGTGTCTGAAGAAATCGCTGTTTCTGCTTCTTTTATTCACTAGTTGTTTAGGCAACTTATAATTTATATTGTTGAATCATTCTGTGTTATGTGTTTCGCATGCAGCATTACTTCCAAAATGATAACCTATGGTGGCTAAAACACTGATACTTATCACATGTCTTTGAAATATATTACCATCCGAGATTATATATATAACGCACTGATATGTTCCTTTATTATATATTGTAGAAAAAATGCGGAAAATTGTTTTGGAAGCACTAGAAATAATAAAAAGACGTCAGTACATTTTGTGGAGAGATGCCAGCGATGAAAAGAAAGAGAAAATAGAGCTTGATCCGGTAGTAATTGCTGAAAAAGCTATTAAGAATTGCTGCCCTATCATGATTTTACGTCCATTTATTCGTGGTAAGTCCTTTTTTGTTTACTACTTCTTATCCAATTTTTTTTTTTTTCTTAAATGGAAGTCGACTACAAGTAATTTAACAAATGCATGGAAGCAAGCGTCAATTCTTCAAAATGCGTCTAACTCTTTTGATGGATGAGTTTTATCTTAATTGACCACCATAACTTTTCACTATTCTTTACGATCAACTATCTTGATCGTTATCATATATCCTTTTGAGATTTTTATGCATTTTTGTGTTACATATTTTATTTAACCTTAAATTAATGTGCAGTAAATTGCGTAATGTCAGTTCTTTTGCGCCCAGAAAAAAATTTTCCTTGTAAGGACTTTTTTTCAGGTGGACAAACTTACATGGTACCATGTCCGATATCAGATCACCACGCTGAGTTCCGAGCAATGAAAATGATGCGTGATATCTGCCGACAGAAAACCTTTCACGGTGCTACTCATTTTCAACATATATTAGCTGATGAGTTGCTTTCTGCTTACAAAAACGAAGGTTTAACTGTGCAAGCAAAGCAGGAATTGCACAAGCAGTGTGAAGCAAATCGAGCTTATGTTCATTATAGGAGACAATAAAATCTTTGTTTTTTTCGATTTATTCATAACATTTTATTTAATATGCTAGATATTGTTTAATATTTTTCTTGAAGAATGATAGAAATCATTATGTTGGCTTGTAAATAAAGGGAAGTTTATGTGATATCATGCTGATTTTCGCAATTCATCTGTTAATTTCTCACTGTACATACATAAACGGTTTTAATGTATTGACGTGTCACAAAATTGCTCTGAATCCGACTATTTGCAGATCATTGTGTTTTTATATTGTCAGACGATGAACGCGTGTATTTTGTGAAATGTTTCAATATGATATCATATTGATATGTAAACATACCTTTGTGTTTGAATTTTACGCGTATACCTACTAAATTTTTTCATTCAATTAAATTGAATAAATAAATGCACATTCTTTAGTACGAGTTGTTGGTTTCATAACCTGTTTCACATTTTTTCTTGAGTTGAAAATTGTCATCAGTAAAAGCTGTTTTATAGTGTGGTTTAGTGGATAGTAACTACATTGAACTAAAGTAGTGCCTGGTTTGTTATTTTTGGAAATTATTTGTGCTTTGCAAATCATCTACAATTTAAACTACTTCTATGCGATTTTATAGTATCTGTAAGGCAGTTCAGAACTTGTTAGGCTTAAGCTTTCCCGAAATCCCTCTTACTTGAACTATTTGTTTACCGTTCTCTTTTTCATCCTCATAATAAGTTTTTGTTTTACAGCTTTACTGGGAAACTTTTCGCAGTGTTGCATTAGACTTGCACATTCATTTTTGTTTATTAATACTAGAATTATACAGATATAATTTGTGGTTCACATCGTATTCCATATATCCGGTTTTTCAGTTGTACTGATTGATGGCCACATCTTAATGGTGTTAATGAATATTCGTTTTTAAAACGAAGAATGCGATGTAATTATATATGAGGAAATTCTAATATTTTTATTGCTTCTGTTTGGCATAAAGTCTTCCTGTCTTTCAGGGTATTATGGTGTTGTCCAGGAACTGATTTCCTAGAGGATGACAACGAATACATTGTTGTTAAGTGATTTTGAACATCAGTATTCAGTGCAGACTGCTGAAATTACAGCACGTATTGGACGTTTGAGAGATTTAGATCAAAATGGGCGAGTTGAAGGGATTCAGCAGATTCAGCGTTTATTGGTTGATGTTGAAAATCTTCTGGAGCAGATGGAATTGACGGTCAGGGAATTAATGCCATCAAGGTACGTTATTATCTTAGGAGAACTGCATGTATGTCGTTCTTTTTATTAACTATAAGTTACATAATCAAAATAACAAAAACATATATATATATATATTGTAATTTCACAATATTATAAAATGATTGTATTGAATTAAAAAGCTTGTAATTTCTTCTGTTTGTTGTTTTTGGAAAAACATATTTTCGATTTACAGTGCTGAACGATCAAAATATGAATTAAGAGTTCGTAGCTATCGGAATGACAAAAAGCAGTTAGATGCTGAACTGGATAAAGCAGTTCAACGCTTGAAGGATAACGCTGACCGCGATGAACTGTTGGCATATGATAATCAAATTTCTTTGAACCAAGTCAGTCTTGAATTTTTTCATGTCCCACATTCTTCTTCGTTTTTCAATGCATCATTTTCACCATTCAGTCATGTTCTATGTTGAATCTTCATTGTTAGTGATAAGATTAGAATTACTTTTAAATCTAATAGCACTTTAATTTCCTTGATCCATGCAAGTTGTAAGGTCTGGATTGCATATATACTGTTTTCTCAAATTGATGAGCATTCTTTTAAAGTTTTCATTTTGTTAAGAACATTAAACATTCATAAGAATACATGTTTGCTAACGAAAAATGTGAGACTAAACTTTTCAAACAAATATGTATTTTAATAATCACCATGTAATTAGAAAGACTTTGTTCTGTCGTTCTGTAATTTTCTAGTGATACGCATGAATAGCTTCAAATTTTCCTCACGAATTTCGAGTTCATGTCAGACAATATCCTTTTTTATAGCAAGACCAACTGATTGAAAATACCGAAAGATTGGAGAGAACATCCAGAAGACTTCAAGATACTTATAGAATGGTGATTGAAACGGACCAGGTTCTTTATGTTTGAATTTTGTAGTAATTATCGGACAACCATTAAATTTTCTCTTTTTTTTTTTTCTTCAGAATTCATCACTTTTATTGGACAAATATTGCTGTTTTGAACTCTAAATCTTGTTTGAGATTGAAGAAATGCATTTTTTTTTTTTTTTCAAAAAATTGAGGAGAGAGGAGAAAGGTAGATAAAAGAAAGTAAAAAGTGATCTATGAATATTTATTGCTTCTTCACTTGATATAATAGTTTTATATCTGATACTAAATGTAACGAGTCCCGTGAACATAAAAATAAAGAAACTGTGATAAGTGGATAAGCAGTATGCAGCGAAATTCTCTACGCAGTTACATGTGGTCATGGCTACTGTGGTATTAAAAACGAATAATAACTCTCTTTGAATATAATTCGTAGTGAAAAAAAAATTTCTTCAGATTGGAACAGAAGTGTTAAACGATCTGAGTTCGCAGCGTGAAACAATAATGCGGGCACGTGAACGTATGCGACAAGCAGATAGAGATTTAAATAGAAGCCATAAAATGTTATCGGTAATGATTCGCAGGTATTCATAATTAGCATTGTTTTTCTTCTTTATTTCAAATTGTTGATGAGCTAATTAGGATTCAGGAGCATCTACGAGTTTTTCAAGAGTGATTTTGATTCATTCAGGAATGGTTTTAAAATTTCATAAGTTTTTCAGAATAATCCAGAATCGTTTACTACTACTTATTGTCGCTGTGCTACTTCTGTTTTCACTGTTATTCATCATTTATAAATCGTTGTGATGATGGAACACATATTCATTTAGCAGCAATTATTTTCATATTTTGTTAATTCTGGATTTCAAACAATTTGACGGTTAAAATGTATTTATGGTTGAAGTAGTTCATCTTGAGAAGTAGGAATCTCAGATGGTAGAATTTCTCTTTCACTATCTATTTCTGATCTAAAGTATAGCATTAAATCATGATTCTTCATATACAACTTCACTGCTTTTCTTCAAAGTAGCGTAATGTAGCAATATGGCTTATCCAACCAAAAAGCTAACATATTTATGTAGTGGATTTCAAATTTTCAGATTTCATACAAAATGATGTATCTTCTATTGATCTCTTATAACTCATACTTATTTGTCAGTCATTTAGTCGTCCTTCAATTCTGAAAATTCACTTATATAGAACAAAAAAAAAATTTTTTTTCCCTTGCGGCTTCTGGAAGAGCCACTGCGTAACTTTGCTGTGTCGTCTTCAAATTTTATTTGGTTTTGTAATCTTACTACGGTTAGGGACTAAAGTGCTGATGAGTGAGGAATTTCAAAACAAGGCAAAAATATTGTTTTTTTTTTTTTTTTTTTTAAATCTAATTCAGCAGTAAAAATTCGTCATGGGTTCTTTTTTCTTTTTCAAAAAAAAAAAAAAATACCGTAATGTCGCATTTCAGAGCAGAATATATACTCGGAATGCTTTTTGCTTATTACTTTCAACTATATTGAAATAAATGATTCGTAATTTTTCATGCTAATAGGTATTTCATGTTTTGAATTGATAAAGCAGTAGGATTTATTTGTTTATGTATTGTTCAAATGTTCATACATTTATTTGGACTCTCGATTCAATAAAATCTTTGATATACTTTATTTAACTTTTCAAGTTTCGGGAACTATTAGAAGTTGAAGACAGTTTAGATATAATAAAAGTTATTTGCACGAATTTAAATTAGGAATTTAGAAAGGAGGAATTTAAAAAATTAAATTAGAAAGAAGTATGAGAGTGTTGATTTCTAATTCGGCATTTCGAATTTATATCTGGTAAAAAAGTGAAATTTATATACTGAAATTGCAAATAGAATTTGGTTCAGCAAAGTGATCAGATAAAAAAGATTTAACTGGGATGTTCGTCACTTTTCATCACTACTCAAGTTGAATTTCATTTTTACTTTTTCCTCAAATTAAAGTTCTGCAATGGTAAATTTTGGCAAATGCATGCAGATTTTCCGAACACTCCTGTGTTTTTGAGATATTTTGTTGTAGACAGTTTCAACCTAGCTATTGTTACCAATCTGCAAAAATTCAGCACAAAAATTGAATCGATAACCGTAACAAATATATATGTTTGTTTCTTTGTTGACTGTCCAATCCATTCAGAGTTATAATCTAAGGTACACCATAGTCATATCTATGAGCATGTATAATCAGATCATAGGGCTGGTCCTTATTAGTGTTCCCAAAAAACAGCGGATAGCGTATGGTTGAGTGCTGAGTTAAAAAATAAAAATGTGTCTGCATCCTCCCGAGCCAAAAAAAGTGAAAAATGACAAAAAAAGACACTCTCTAAAAAAAAGAAAATTGTTAATTGACAAAAACAGAAAAAAAATTGTAAAAACAAAACTTGCGAAAAAAAGGCAAAAAATTGTAAAATGTCGGGTATAAAGGGATGAGAAAAAGGGTGCAACACTAATAGATTTGACCGCCACTTTTTTTATTTAAAAAAAAAAAAAAAAAAGAAATTCATATTTCTTTTGCTTACTGACAAGCAATTTTACTGTGTAATATATTAGCTATCTATTAGGAAGTTATTCATGAAAATTTTATTGGTAAAATATGCTGACAAATTTTATGTTTAAGATTAGTTTGAATAATAAGAAAACAATAACTTAACTGTCATTCTTAATTTGCATGCAAAAATCAGTCTTTTAAATTTTGAAAGAAATGAATCAGTAAGTACCATACTAATTAGGTAAGGTTATCGGTTAAAAGTCAATGGTGTAAACCACTTTTTTTTTTAAATTAATTACGAATTACAACTATATTACGTGGTTTCCGTAACAAGCATGTGTATTCTAAAATTATACAAAAACATATTTGAAAATAACGATATGAATAATTTTATAATTTAAGTGGCAAATTTACTGATATAGCAAAAAGTTAATCATTTCTTGTAATTTGTCATTGTGATTCAGATTTGATAAACATAAACATCGATGTAATTTGAGTAATCAAGTATGTTGCTGAATGTAAAGGTAATGTTTAATTTTTAAATTTATCCTTACAAATTAGCCGAATTGTTGAAAATTATTTGTGTATAAGGACTTATACTGGAGATTAGAAAACCGTATATAATCATTAATTGTATAATAAAACTTTGATTATAATAATCTAAATGATATTTAAATGTATTAACATTTGAAAATATGAAAGATTTCAAAAAAAAAAAAAAAAATGTAAAATGTAAAATATTCCCTGCCTGAAAATGCAGAAATTTACACAATTTGACACATTCAGGGGAAAAACTTTTTTCTTTTTTGCACTAATTAGATGTTAAATTACTTTAACGTAATTTAATTGCATTTTGTAGAGAGATGACCTTAGCGCAAAAAAAAAAAAGAAAAAAAAAAAAAAACAAAAATAAAAAATTTATTTATTGAAGAATTCTAAACAAAACATTCATATTTTGGAAATTTGAAATAAAATTGATTAAAACTTTTTGATTTTTATTTTTGAAAATTCAATTGTTTTGGATGTCTTCTTTCTTATTTTTAAATATTTATTTGTTGAACTTTAGTACTTTTTCATTTTCTAATAAAAATATTTTTATGATAATCCAACAATATGTTAAAGAATTGTTTTTTTTTCATTTGTTTTTCTGTTTTCAGTAAACCAATCAAAACTATTGGATAATAGATACCAAACTAATATCTTAATGATCTCTAGGCTATGCATCTATGGGGCTGGTCCGATGGTACGTTGTCCTGCACTGGTTGCAAAAAAAAAAGAAAAAAAAAACAAAACAAAAAAGCGCCATCGAAAGGTAGAACATTACTAACAATAACAAAACGGCGCATTATGAACTAACAGCACAAAAAAGGAGAAAACCCCTCCAAAAAAAAGAAAAAAAGAAAAGAAAGAAAACCCCAAAAAAAAGAGAAAAAAAAGAAAAAACCCCCAAAAAAAAGAGAAAAAAAGAAAATCTAAAAAAAGAGAAAAAAATCTAAAAAAATGAGAAAAAAAATCCGAAAAAAGAAAATCCAAAAAAAGAAAAAAAAAAAAGAAAAAGGAATCAGTGCAGTACACGTTAAAATGACCGCCTCAACTTTTAGCTCCTTTTTCTTTTCTTTTATTGTGCTGAATTAAAAATAAAAATGAAAAAGAAACACTTATCATTTAGTCGAATGTATTAGAAAAATAATGGAAAGTTGAACGATGTAAAATTTTATTTAAATTTCGAAATTACAATTTAGAAAAATGTCATATTATTTAATTTTTTTTTTGGTTAAGTGAGTATTAGAGAGAACATTAAACTTAAAAGCTATTATTCTCGCTAATTTATTGTTAAATGTTATTTTGATGTTATACTGTGTTGTTTAGGAATTTAAAGAATATTTTGAAAATTTTAAATAGCTAGCACTCATTTGGAATTATTCAATCTTCCTGATGAATGCTACTTCCAACAATAAACGCAACCTCTTATAGTATGGCAATTGTTGATTGGAAGCGGAAACTTTTTTGTAACCTAAATTATTTATAAAATTATTTATAAGTTTAATTAGATTATTTGTAAATAACTTATAAGCCCAATTAATAATATTTTTTAAATATTTTATCTTTAAAAGGAAATGGAATTATGACAGAAATGACTTAATTATTTCTAATAACAATTAAAGACAACATATTTCAAAAAAACATTCATCTAAAACATACATCCTTAAATTTATATGAACAGCAACTACTTGAAAATTGCATAATGTCAAATATGATAATTTTGAGGACTGTCCAGTGACATAATTAATTGATTAAAAGATAACTGAACCGCATAAAAATAATAATAGAATTGGGCAAACAATAAATTTCATGAATTATTTTTATGATAGTCTTATTTTTCTTCGACGAAAAACATTTTATGGTAGAAGACAATCGAAAAATTATTAGGAATTATCTCATTTTAATAACTGCAAATTCGTTTGATTAAGATAGCATCCAGTTTCGATTTTCATCATTTTTCATCTCTTAATTTGAATTGGCATATTTTTATCCCGATTTAAATTTAGCCTAACTTTTTTGGAAATATTGCATTTTTAGGCCTAAATCATAAAAAGAGAATATGTATACAAGCATCCACTAGTAAGAATTTTTAATTATTTTGAGGATGAATTTTCATTCATAATTTTACCTGTTTCGTTCCCGTTCAATAACCTGAGAAAAAAAAAATTTGCCTTTCTGTTTCTTTTGTCTTCTTCTGGAATTATGCAATCAAATTTATTGTGGTATCAATTATATGTTTAAAAATAAAGTTTAAAAACAAATAATTAATAAGTAAAACGAGTCACAGATATAGTAATGCAATCGTTTGTATTATAAAAAACACAGTTTTATTCAATCATATTCAATGTTGACATAAACTTAGAATCAAAAAAAAAATATCATATTTGCTATGACATTCGTAACGAAAAGGATCAAATTTAATTTTGTTCAATTCATCCATTTGTATATGTCATTGAGATATGAAAATTTCATAGGATTTATTTATTAGCGAAGAGATTATTAGTAATTACATTCGAACCAATTAACAAATAAAAATTGTTTCCTATCAGCTTATTTCGTATCGATTAAATAATATCCCAAATAATAATGTAGGCATATATTATAGCCAATCTGAAACTTTTATAATTCATTTCTGGAATAAAAATAAAAAAATGAATTTTCATTTTAATAATAATACCATATATATGTATATTAAAGACACAAATAACAAATAAACAATGAATATACATTATGTCATTGACTGTTTACAACACAATTGCTAAAAAAAAATGAAACGAAACTTTAAAAATAACGAACATTCTACCAAATAACTGTTATCAATTTGCATATTTTCGTCTCTCATAATAGTTTCGACTTGCTGATTGAAATGAAAATGATAAAGAGTATGAAGCGAATGATATAATACAAGCTATCATATGATTAATCTTTTATCATCTGTTGATTATGAGTATTTTTTGATAATTTAAATGTTTTTGCAATCAATTTCATATCGATTGGGATATTCCCCACTGCTTCAACAATATAATTGGCTCCTTTATTATTGTCCCAATATGTGATACCATTAACAATGTAATGTATACAAAATTCACATGTTGCACCAAGCTGAAAATATAATAAAAAATAATCGAATAAATTAATCTTTGATTTCATAGTATTATTGATACTATTGCAATCTGTTTTAAGATAGAAAAAAAGAAAGGAAAACTACACTTCTTTTAAGGAGCAAATTAATTTCGTAGTAATAAAATGAGTTAATACTGATACTAAATACTATTAATATTTAATTGGGACTATAATAAAATGGTATAAGTAATTAAATATTTAGCAAAAATATGTTTGAAAAAAGAAAAACGAAAACTAATTATACCGGGAAATCGGTGGGAAGTGAAATGATAAATGTGAATTTATCTATAGTGTCATCGTTTCTAACTGAACTCTTGTATCTTCCAACTGTTTCGATATTTGTTCTCCAATTATCTGTAGTATATCTGATATATACCTAAAAAATAAAATTGAAATATGTAAATTAGACTTTTTTATAAAAAAATGTAAGGTAAGATGAGGAGAAAAAAAATATACATTTTGGCTTATTTTTAAAGTTTAAAAAGTTTAGCTTAAGGCATACTCAATAACTTGGTAATTTATATTTTAAATTAAATATTCATTATATTTCTATATTCATCTCAATCAGAATTACAATTTTCATTTTATATTTTTCAGATTTCAGCATTACTCACCATCATAAAGTAATTAGATGTATTTTTCTTCCTTTTTTCTATAATGATTACTTGAAAAAAAAAAAAAAAAAAAGAAAAATGATAGCTTTACAATCTTCTAAAAACTTAGTACTGTTTATAAGACCATTAAACTGATTAAATTAATTGTATTTTCCTTTAATCGAAATGTTAGAATACTAAAATAATTTTCTTGAAAAGTCATTTGTGACCTAATTAGCATTAGCAGACACTAACTTTCTTATCCAATGTTTGTTAGGTTATGAAACGAATGTCAATATTAAATTCAATGTTTCATTTGTATCGCTTTTTCATTAAGAAAATATAGATTGCCGATTGATAATGATTCATATAAATTTACTAGGTTAGAGTTTAGTTCATATTTCAGTTATACTAAAGGTGTATCTCTATATACCATTAGAATTGGAAATGCTTGTTTGTTAAAACATTTGTTAAAAATATTAAAATACTAACTAGTACATTTAATCAAAGATTTTATTTTAAATGAAGTTTAATAATTAATCTAAATCTTCCTAATTTATCATTTATTCTTTTATTTGCTAGAATGTTATCTGTTAGATTAGCTAAATGATAAATGTAATAAATTGATTAACCTGCTTTTCATATGCAATATTAAGAACATTTATGGTACCAATGATATTCATATCAACAAATTTAACACATTCTAAGCAAACTGCTTGATTGCGTGTTAAATAATCAATTTCCGCATCAGTACGTTCGTGAAATTTTGCTAAGGTTAGCATAACATTTCTTGGACGTTTGATAATTTTGGTAGATAATGGAGGAAATGTTGCACCAAATTTTTGCAACCTAGAAATTGTAATAATTTAAAATTATTTAAATAAAACAAATATTTTAAAATAAATGAAATGTTTATAGTGGAAAAATGAATGCAATATTTTTAATACATACTCGACTGAGAAATCATCTGCTTCATAATAATTCTGATGTACAAGATCCAAACCAAATGAATCGGCGAAATGCACTGTTTTTCGCATTCCTAAATTTGGTGTAGAAGGTGTACGCAACGCTGATCGAAGTGATTTTGAACGCATCCTTATAACAAAACATGATTTTAGCAGTCTTTTTCTTTTTTTCAAATTTCATCAATGAAAAATTAAAAATTTTAAAGTTAATGATAAAAGTTCAAACGAAATTTTTCTTTTTATCTTGTAAAGAAAAAGAAGAAATAGATAGAGTGATTAAATTAGAATAAACTTATTACAATTTGTTGCTTTTTGTGACATCTGATTGTGTATTATCATCCGATGAAAAATTCGTATCATCATTACGTAAGCACTTGAATAGATTTATGAATGAACGAAGTGATGATTCTTCGGGTTTCTGCAATTTTGAAAAATTTTTTAATTTTTTATAATATTTGATAAATTTGAGGTTTAAATTAAATGTTGTTTTCTAATCAAAAAGAAAAATAAAGAAAAAAGATAAAAAAAAAAAAAAAAATGAAAAGAAAGAAGAAAAACCATTATAAAATCATAAAGTGAAAAATTATTAAAGAAAAATAAAAAATAAAAAATCGTTGTAAAACACTAACATCAAGAGTCCAAACTACTTTCTTAACTTCGTTAGCTGGTGATGTGCCAAGTTGTATTTTCAAGTCAAGCAAATTGTGATGTTTAATTTTGCTAATGAGTGATTGCAGGGTAGCTTGTTCAGGAAATTGTCCAACATCAATTGCAACCGTCGATACATCCATTGCCATTTTTTTACCTTTCATAACAATATTCATGATCCTCTTTCTCTCTCTCTCTTTTTTTTTCTCTCCTTTTCTTTTTAATTATAAAATCATGGTTTTAAAATTAATGATAAATAAGAAGCTTTGATATTAACATTCTGCTTCTGAAATAAATAAGAAAAAAAGAATATCATGTAATTTTTTTTCTCTACTTTTATCATATCATTAAGCGTAAGTCATATGAAACATGTAAATAATTTAATCAAAATAATCAAATATTGTAAAATCTTTGAAATAAAAAACAAAAGAAAGGAAAAAGGAAAAAAAGACCAACCATTTCGTAAGATATTAGTGTGCAAACAACGAAATATATTATACGTATTTCTCTAATTTAATGAAAATTTCGAGAAGACTTTTAAAAAAATGATATTTCTCTGATATTTGATAGTCTGCTTTGCTATAAAAAAAAAAAAAAAAAAGAAAATGTTTTTCGATTTGCAAATAAAGTATGTCATTCTGTTTCTTTTCAAAATACAATTATTTCAATTACTTTTTCTTTGTTTTACTTTTACTTACAACAAATTTGTGTCAAAAATATTTAGTGATGAAAAAAAAAAAAAAAAAAAAAAGCAAAAATTCTAACATTTAGTAAGATATTACTTTTTTATTTGTGACAGCAAAAAAAAAACAAGAAAAAAAAAATGATTTAATAGAAAAAATTGTATTATCATTGAATGCTATTATGAATTTTACTTTTTCTCACTTTATTTGGCTCTTTTTTTGTTGTTGTTGCTTGAATAGATCATACATTGAATGTGTAAACGAAAAGATTATTTCATCAGTGTAAACAATTCAATAATTATAAATTATCAACTTATATTTATACAAATTACTTTGACATCAATGCAATGTTTACTTTATCAATTCATTGCTATAACAAATGTTGAATTCCTATCATTATCACTGACGAATGTAATAAGTAAAATTTGTTGTAAATAAGTTTTTTTTTTTTTTTAAAATTAGTAATAAAAGATTAGATGAAGAAAAAAGAATGTGGTATGCTACAATAATTTATCTAAGTTAAATTTATCAATTTCAAACTTTTGAAAGTGTTAATCTTATCTGTCCATTTCACTAACAATTATATTTCTTTTTTTTTTTTTGCCTTTTTCCATCACTTTCCTGCTCTACCTTAATTTTTTTTAATTTTCAAAGCAATTTTTCAATTTCCTTTTTCTTGAAATCAGCGTCTGGTTTACATTTGATACTGATCATCCCTCAACTATAGCCAGCAGCTGTGCTTATTGAAAAGAAAAAAATTGCTATCACACTTTTCTTATTGTTTGTTCCTCTTAAAGAGCTTCTTGAAAAAAAAAAAAAAAAATGATCCTTAAAATTATAAGTTTCAAGCACTTTAAGACAACGGAAATTTAGAAAAATAACTTACAAATTATGTGAAATAATCTCTATCATTAAGATTAGCATAGCAAATAGACTGATTAAGAGTTATATTCGAAATATTATTAATTTAAGAAAATATTGAAATATTGATTAACACTTCAAAAAAAATTGTTAGATATTTTAACAAGTTATTGCAAAAATATCACAATTTGAAACATAAATTTAACAAAACAAAATGGAAAAATAAAAGACAGAAATAAGAATGTACATTAGCTAAGAATGTTTATTTACCAATATCCATCTAATACTTTTCAATAGCTATCGTTAGAATTTTTGAAAAAAAAAAAACTTTCCTTAGTGTTGACAAAAGCGCCTAAATGCAATCACAATATTTAGGATTACTGTTCAATTCGACAAATTAGAGACTTAAACGAATGGTATGTATGTGTGTATGTATTCCGGCTAAATTGAAAATTGGAAAGCCTAACATACTTTTACTTGCTCATCAGTAAACTATTCTTTTTCTCTATTGTCAATGATTTCACTTCATCCTTCTGTCCATTTAAATTATAAAATTCCATATTGTGCTCTCAGTATCAAAGTATAAAATAAAAAAATGAAAAAAAAACTAATTTAAATTTTTCATATTTTGTTGTGTTACAAGTTTTATACTTTACAAAAATTTCAATTAAAAGAAATATGCTAACATAAAATGTGGAATAATTTGAAAGTAATACTATCAAAGCCATTCGGATTATTTACAAAAAAAAAAAAAAAAAAAAAAAATAAATATTTATTTTTTTTTTTTTTGTAAAAAAAAATAAATAAATAAAAATAAAAAATAATAAATAAATAAAATGAAATAAAAGTGAAAAATAAATAAAAATTTGGGCAATTAGAATAGATTGTTTGTTCATTCTAATAGACATAGTTTTCAAATAGTGAAAAAAAAAACGAGAGGAAAAGAAAAGAGAAATTAACTCATTGAGATGATAATTGGCCTTAAACAGTTGCATAGTGAATGACATCGTAACGTGAATTTTCTCTGTATTCAGTTCCAAAAATAAAAAATAAAAACAATATCATATACAAATTTAACTTATGTTAGAGAAACTTATATTAAAGTTATATTCAAGAAAGCATTCATTAATTTATCTTTTATTTCCCCAACAACAGTTTCTTATTTCCATGGCAATATGAGTTTGTGTAATAAATTGATGTTTGCAACTTTTCAAGGCTGATTTTAAAAACTCATTCATGTCAATATTTTGACAGCTAAACAAATAATTTCCACTAAAAATACCAATCTTATACAGGTGTAAAAAATATTAAATCTATTTTGGTACAATACTTTATACCTAAAACAAAGAAAAAAAAAGGTTTAAAATTAAAAATCACTATTTTAAATGATGAATTTCTATGTTATACGTTTATTAATTTAATTGCTCACTTATTAAATTATATGTTATGTTGCAATATCATACACAAATTAAATTCGTTTAACTTACGTTAGAGAAATTTATGTTAAGCTTATGAACATTCATTCTACAGCAAATTGAATGCAATGTTGCATTTTATGCTACAATTAAACAAAGCTAATATGATAGGTATGATAATAATGATAACAAACAATAGTGATAATTTTTATCAGATTTCTGAAATTTGATAATAATCCCAATTGTGAAAAATTTTTGGTCAATAAAATAATCAATCATACATATAATTTCAAATAAAATAACGTGAAATAATGTATAACATAAATGTTATAGGTTACAGATCTGATGATGAATTTTTGAATTTATCAGTTTAATTAAAATAGTAAATACTGATTTTATATATGTAAGTTTCAGTATTTCAGTTTCTCTTTTAATTTATAAATTAATTTGGTATGAAAATGAAAAAATATATATATATATATAAGAGTAAAGCAATTATTGCAAAGTTAAAAAAAATTCGATATTATTGTGCTAACATGTGAAGTATGCAAAATTGTGATATTATTTTTAAACAAATTTATAATGAATTAATTGAATAATATAGTAAATGAAATAAAATAAACGAATAGTAATCATTACAGAATACGTTTATATGTCCACGTTCAGATCTAATAAGCGTAAGAATGTTTCTTTGTTATTTTTTTCCTTTTTTTTAATTTACAAGTTGATTTGGTACAGAAATCAAAAAATGTCAATAAATCGATTATTGTAAAATTACAAAACTTTTGATTTTATTGTATCAATGTGCAAAGAGTAAGAAAAATTCTGCTATCAATTTTAAGCAAATTTATGATGAATTAATTAAATAATAGAAAACAAATAAAGTGACATGAAAAAAAAAAAAAAAAAAAAAAAGGTAAATGCAAAAAAGAGTAATGTAATTAGCAAGTATCCAATAAAAATATTGAACTAATATTGGTATCAATGAAAAAACAGTGATGACCAGTATAGATTTTACCTGTAATTTACTCACTGATTCTTTGATCATTCATTTCGCTCAGGTATCGTCACAAAGTAATGAGGAAGAGATGTTAACTAATGTAGCATAGGAAACATTGAAAGATGTGAATTAACATTAGAGCAATTTAAACTTTAAAAAAAAAAGTGCAGAAAAAAAAAGGTATGAAAACAAATTGAAAAAAAATGATAATAAAATACTGCCAAGAGCAATTGTTGAGAATTTTTTTAATCTACTTCCTAACTTCTTCTGCAACTTGTCTGAACATTCTTATTTCATACTAAACATCATTTATCAATTTGATCTTTTCATATCAGTTAAATTTCATGACAATAATTATGAAAATTATATTTTCATATAAAATTGATATAATGTTATTTTAATTGATTTCATTTTTATCTTCAAATTTAAGACAAAAAAAAAAATTTTTTTCATTCATTTCACATCTTTTCCTACCATTTTTCTTTTCCCTTCTTTGCTCATATATTTCAAACTTTTAAAAAAAAAAAACAAAAAAAAGAAAAAAAATTTAGAAAAAGCAAAAAAAAAAAGGATAATATTTAAAAAATTTCAAAGTTAATTTAATTTTACTTTTTCAGAACTATTGTATATTTTTAAATAATACAAATGCAGTAATATTATTCTTAACATTTCGAGAGTGAAGGAAAAAGGAAACAGACCGTATCGAGAAAAGAATTATATTATATAGTTGATGATAACATAATGCTAGCTAATATTAGCATTCAAAAAAGCATTTATATCAAATCATTTGTTACATTTTTATAATTATCATTTCTACACATCGAGCAATCACATTTAATCGTACAGAATGATCGATTTGCATTCATTTGCTATTATTTATCAAATAAAATGAAGAATTTTACTTACCCATGTAATATAATATAATGATAATGTATTTTATATAATTTACATCATATAGATATTGTAATAATTTCTAAAATTATATTCTTATTTCAAATAACTTATATCATTTTCCACTCGAAAAAAAATATATATATATATATATATATATATATATGAGACAAAAATGAGTTGCCAGGAATTAATTAATTACAACTAAGTAAACTTATTATAATAAATGACTTAAAGATTACGAAAAAATTGAAGTCGTAAGATTTAGAACATCAAAAATCACAATGCGTCACAGATGGCTTATCTGATGGAAAAGATTTTTCTTCAGTGTTGATATGATAATATCAAAGTACATTAACAATTGATCCAATCGACTTCTTCCTTTTCCTCCTTTACTATCATCCAATATATTAAAGATTTTTGATAAATTAACGTTGAACTATTCTTGACTTTTTTTTTCTCTTTAAAATTTTTCATTTCCTCTATCATTCTTTTTCCTCATCTGTCTTTTTTTTTTTTCTTTCTTGTTGCTAAAAAAGGTTTTTAATGAACAAAAAAAAAAAAACAAAAGAAGACTCCTGAATTTATTACTTAAAAGTAATAGTTTTACAAAATTGATTTGACATCTGCACAGATTATTTACTATTTTTTGTTTTCTTTTTTTACTTTTTAACTTTACCAATAATAGATTATTTATTTAGGCTTTTTACATAGCATATCGTATTGATAATTCGTTTTCGTTCATTTTCCCTTCCCAAAGAAAAAAACAAAAAAAGCAAAAAAGAAGAAAAAAAATGGAATTACATTACTCAGCCGTTTATCAATTTCATTTAATGTAAGCATTTGACAAAAATTTTTTAATATAAACAAACATTTGAAGACAAAAAGAAACAATATATTTTGTTATTTATCTAATTCATTTAATATATATCACATTGATCTTTTTAATATATTATCATTATGCTTTTTTTTTTCTTTTAGAAATAAATTTTATTAAAAATATTTGTTCTTTTTTTTCCTTCACAAAAACAAAAAAGAGAGAGAGAAATTATCAAAATGAAATGATTATAGATGGATAGAGTGATAAGATGCATTAATTAATTATTTTTACTTCAGTGATATTAATGTTTTCATTTAATGACTTAACACCAATTGTTATGAAAAATGATAATTGTAAACATAAAGTACACTTCGTTCCCTTCTTTTTAATTTTTCCATTTGAAAAAAAAAAAAAAATAAATAAATAAATAAAATGAATAAATTGTTTTATTTTTCATTTCTTTGTTGGTATTGCTAAATAATAACTGAATTGAAAATGGAATCAAATTGCACACTTTTAAATGCAAAATTTGTTGATTACTTTAACAATTTTGATTTAATATCAATGATTTACACACATTTATATTTTCAAAATTGCAATTATAATTGCCATTCAATAATTATTGAAATGATTAATGCTTTTATTTTTGCTATTATAATTTTGACAATAGTTCCAATAAATGCATGAATGGAAAAAATTTTTCAAGCATTTATTTTATAATAAAAGAAATACAATAAAGAAAACCAAACTTATAATTCTATCTAAAAAATAAAAATATCTTTTTTTTTTTAAAAAAAAAAATTTTTTTCAATGAGTATTAAATAAGATTAATCATATAGAATTATTTAATAAATTATTGTTTCACTTTTAAGATAGTTAGGCAATTATTTGAATACGACAAAAACTTTTTACTATTTTACTAAAAGTTAAATAGCTAAGAAAAAATAACAAAATTTGATCAGTGGTTAGGAGAAAAATCATCTCATAATTTTTTGATATTTTAAAGCAAATTTATCATATTTTTGAAAATGAAAGAAAAAAAAGAATGGAGCATTTTTTTTTTTTGTTTTTTGAAAAAAAAAAAAAATGTTAAAAAACAAACTTAGATGATTCAATATGACTCATAGTATTTGTTTTTTTAATTGATTCTAATGAAATTAATGCAATGAATAATGAAAGGAAGAAACAAAATAAATAAAAATTTTCTAATTATGAGATTTAGCTCTTTTTTTTTACAATTATTATGAGATTTAGCTATTTTTTTAAAATTAACTAGCTCACTAAAACATCTTTTCCATTATAAATTCATTAAATTTTATTGCAGCAATTTAAAATGAATGATTTACTTAGAAAGAGAAAAACAACAAACAAAAAAAAAATTTAACCTAAAAGTTGATGATCGAAGTTCATCCTTTCGTATGTTTTATTTCTTAAATGAAAAATGGTTCCTTCAGTAAAAAAAAGAAGAAAGAAAAAAGAAAAAAGAATTGCGCTGTAAAAATTGTTTCAAAAAAAGCAGAAATTGACTTCACAATCTTCAAGTTCATTTATTACACTTTTTTTAGCATTTTTTTTTTCAAAAAAAAAAACACAAAAATAATTTAGACATACGGAATTTTAACGAAATTATCAATTTTTATTCTACATGCAGTTAGCACCGCTTTTGTAGATTGACGAATTTTTGATCGAGAAGATTTGCCGATTTAACGAAAATTAGTCATTGCTTCAAAGAAAAATTTTAAAAATGTATTTAGATTGGAAATAATTTATCTCTAATTTAGTTCTCAATACTAAAGTTTACTTAGTTATTGAGAAATACTGATAGCTGCTTTTCAGTAATTAATTAGTCATAATTCATTGGAACAAAATATTTTCGGATAAATTTATGGGATAATCAATAACTTTAAATTTTCGGCAGATTTCTCTAAAAGCTTATAATACTCAAGAAAAAAAAAAGACATTTTAATTAATTTAATAAGTTGCATAATTACTTTAGCTGGATTATATTTTCAATATTTCAATTTCACATTTCATTGTTCTTTTTTCATCTCTGAGCAAAATATAATAACTTTTAGAGGAATTGATAATATATGAAATTTTTCAACAAAAGAAGAATCGATAACATTATTAAAATTCATGCCATCTATTGCCCAACAATTTATTCTTTCTAAAATTTGGAAGCATTTAGATTTATAAAATTTGTTGAGAAATGCATTGCAGTCTTTGTTGTTGGTGTATTTAAGAAGTGTTGTGCATAATTTATTTATAATATAAATGCAAATGATGAATAATAATTTAAACATCAATTTAAATTATATATTATTTACAAGTTATTTGATAAAAGAAAAATTAAAATATCTCAATTCTACTGCACTGTACATAAATTTGATTTAGTTGGACAATGCATTGAAGAATTAGAGGTTTTACTGGTTACCGATTTTGAAAATGATGGTTTTGATGTAGATGTTACAGCTACTGATGAATTTGGTACCAAACTTTTACTAGTTTTCAAAATTGAATGCAATGGTGCCGATGATTCCTTTCCATCTGTTTGTATTACTGATTTATGATAATCAGTTGCTTTTGATAATGTTCGATTTCTCCTTTCCATTGCTGTTGATAATCGAGATGAATTTTTATCATTATTTTTGCTACCTTAAATATACAATAAAATTTATTAATTTCTATTTTCTCAGTTAAATAATTCAATAATCATTTAAAAATATTTCATATTATTCAACTTTCTCTTTTTTAAGTATTACAGAAAACAAAAAAGAAAAAAAAATTAAATTTTTGAATTCTAACCAAATGAAATGCTTGGTTTCGATTTTCTGTGAGTATAATCGTTTGATTTTCTATTCATACCCGAACCAATAAGTTCACTTGCTGGAATATTATGAAGACAAAGAATTGGTAATTGAGAGCAATTGGTAAGTTGCAGTAGGATACGATGACAATCCATAGAAGATGCCTTAAATTTTTATGAATTATATTTTATAGCAAGTTTGCTCAATTTCCAACGAATAATTCGAATTTAAATCATCTATTGGTAAATATTAATTCAAATTTCATTCGTTAATTTTGAGCCATTAATACATACAAGCTTTTTAGCAGTACTGTGAGCATTGAAGCTTGAAAGTAGTGTTCCATCTTTTACACTATATGCTTCTATCCAACCAGTTGAATTTGCTAAAATATTCGCATTATGATCTAAATCGATGAATTGAAATTATATTACAAAATTGAAATAAAATTAAATTTATAAATATATGTATGTATTATTACTGCAAATAATTATAATCAATAATTATAATCGTGATATAAATGTAGTAGATTATATTATCAAAAGTTGCATTTTGATCTTCATTTTGATTTGATAAAAATTTCAATCAATCGACCGTTTTTTTTTTTTAAATAATTACTTATGAAAGTAACCTGAAAGAATAACAGTTGCATCAGCATTGATAGCTAATGCTGTTACAGGTGATTCCGTTTTCAATGAAATAAGAGCATTTCCAGTTGATGTTGCCCAAATAATTATCTGCGAATCTTTTGCACCACTAATAATTATATTTTCATCATCTGCGACAACACAACACATAACTGTCTCTTCATGTCCAACAAGTACCTGTAAAATTAATTGAAATTTTAGATGTCTGAAGAATTGACATAAATGCAATTTATTGCTGCATTAGATGACCTTTTGGTTGCATTCGTTTTTTTTTTTTTTTTTTCAATTTTAAATTTCTGAGAAAAAATGAACCCAGCTTTATCAATGATATAATTAAACTATTGCTTTATATTAACTAGTTTTTTTTTTTTTTTTTTGTTTCTTGTTCATTGTGTAAGTAAGTATTTATTGAATAGATTATAAATAATAGCAACAAAATTAATAACAAAGTTTGCTTCCTAGAAGTAAAGTATCTTTTGCTTAATTATACCGTATTTCTTTGTTTCTTTTCTCTTTCGTTTCATGTAGAGGATAAATATTTTATCAGTAAAAATGTACAATTATCATTACCTGCATAAGAAGGCCAGTGTTTATTTGCCAAAGTTTCAAAGATAAGTCAGCTGAACCGGTTACAAGCAAAGTACTTTTTGATGAGGTATTCAAGCATGTTATTTCTTCGTTATGACAAATTTCTGCTTTCATTACAACGCTTTCATCCTCAATTGACCATATTCTTAATCTGATAAAAAAAAAAGAAAAAAACTTTACTCTTTCTAGAGTTTAAAATTAAGGTTTAAGTTTTTTTTTTTTTTTTTTTTTTTGTTCAAAACTCCTCATGTATTTGTTTTAAAATTTTTTGAAAGTTTGCACTTTCAATTGATTCATTTGATAAAAGAGTTATTTGTTTAAATTAAGCAAAATATCATGCATTCATATTCTCAACAATCACAAATAATACATCACTTTGTCCTTTTTTTTTTTTTCTGCTCTAAACTTTCACTGTTTATTGATTTATTACAAAAGCATATAAAATAAGAAGAAATAAAGTTTGAAATAAATTTTGTTTCTTTGCTAACATTAAAAAGAAATAGCAATTAAATTTAATAAAAAAGAAAGTAAAGAGAATAATTACTCTTTTTTACTGTCTGGAAGATATCCGATTAGATAGGTACTATTTGGTAGCAGGAAAACTGGTGATTGAATACCGGTGAATGCAAGAATCCTATCCGCTTGAAATGTTTCATCAGTGCCAAATAAATTCCATATGAGTACAATATTAGACCGATCAACAGATAATATTCGATATCCATCAGATAAACAAAATATTGATTCGATAGCTTTGCTATGATGCTACAAAAATAGCAAAATAAAGATTTTCTTCCATTCAAGTTATAATTTAATTTTATTTTAAAATAATTTTACATTCTCAATTTAAAATTTAGTCTAGCTCATGAACTATTCATGAATTCAAAAAACTTTTACTTTTTTTCTAAATTAAATTTTAAAATTGTAATGAAAGAAAAAAATTGCAACATTATGGATATGCTAAAATAATACATTTATGAATAAAAACCATACAGTAATGATTCGTCTTAATTTTCCATTGCTTGAATTCCAAATATTAATTTGACCTTCAGCATCACCACTTAGCAAGAAAATGGAATTAATAGAAAATTTTACACGAAGTGCTGGTACAGATCGCTTTTGAATCATCTAGAAAACAATCTTCTTTTTTTTCATTCCTCTTTCTTTCAGATTTAAATTTTGAATAAAATTTATGAAAAAAATGGAAAAATTTTTTAGCTAAATTTACTAGTCTACTATTTGGCATATAATTCTCTATGTTATTTAAATTTCATTAAATCCTAAGATTGTATTTTGACAAATTAATTCGAGAAACGAACTGTACAAACGCATTGACATATTTCTAAATCCCACAATGCCACAGTACCATCAGTTGTTGTACAAGCAGCACTTTTCTCATCTGGTGATATACACATATCGGTTACAATTCCTGCAAGATTATAGTAAATCAGAAAAAAAGTTTGATCCTTTTTTATTAACTAATTATTTCAAATTAGCGGTTAATTATTTGTTTGCATTAATGATAATTGGATAAATGAGCTCATTGGAGGAAAAAGAAAAAATATTTGTGATAAAAAAATTTACAATAATTTTATTTTTATCAATTACTTTTTTCATGATTGGCATTTATTTCATGGTGTTGATGCTGAATGTTCCAAATACTAATGCGATTACCACATGCTGATAGCAAGAAATAATTATCATTTGTAATCTAAAAAATTTTGTAAAATTTTGACGAAAAATTGAGATTTAAAATTCATTTCTGCAAATTAAATTATTCCACCAATATTTTGATATTGCAAAATATACAATTAATTCCATTAATATCTAAAATGAATTAAAAATGATACTTTTAGCGATGTAACCGGTTGCCTATTGATGCAATTCAGGATATCCAACAATTTCCCGTTATGTATATCAAAAACATAAATTTTTGCAAATGTTGCAACAAAAAGTTGACAATCATCATATGCTGCAACCATTGAGACAACTTTTCCATCATGACCGGATAATTCATGTAATTCCTGACCGGATACTGTCCCGAATACCTTTAGCGTTTCATCTTCACATGCAACTACCACAAAAGCATCGTTACTAAAAACAAAAAAAAAAAAAAAAAACAAAAAACAAAAAACAAAGAAATAAAAGGTTTTAATTTAACCTAAAAATCACAATTAAATAATAAGCAAACTGATATTATTTCATTAAAATTATATAAGATTAAGATGAATTTCTTAAATTTGAAAATTTGTTATATTTATTCAAGAGAAAAAAAAAAAAAAAAAGGAAAAAGAAATGATATTAAAGAAGTATAAAAATTTTACCTAGTCATTGTGATGCATGATACTGGTGCCATAAGCCCAGCTAACCGAACGGCCAATTCACCGGTCGATAAATTCCAAACTATGACGACAAATTCGCCAGATCCTAAAATTAATAATCATTACTGATATATATAATTCATTAACGATTTATATTTAAATGAATTGCAACATACCGGTAACCAAGAATTCATCATTTGATGCAAGCGCTAATGAAACAACAGTTCCTGTATGATCTTTGAAAGAATGCACAACTTCCCAATTTTCCACCGAGATTACCTGAAATATTTTTGTTTTAAGATGTTATAATCAAATATTTGATATTTTAAATTCAATTTTACAGTCTTATAGTATTTGAATGATTATCAAGTAAATAAAAAAGTTCTTACATTAGCACATGAATCGGTACCACCAGTGATAACATATTTGCAATCAGAAGTTATCAATGAGCAAATCACTCGACCTCTGTGTGGTTTCATTATATGTACTGCTTTGTCCTGTAATCAATCATCACCTGATTTTATTTGAAATTACTGCTTGTATTAATTCAAAATTAAAAAGAAAAACTTTGTATGGAATAAATTTACTAATAAAAGTATTAGCTATATATATAAAAAAAAAAAAACAACAAAAAAAAACCGTTACTATTTCTAGTAAATTATTTACAATTATTATTCTAAAAAGTAATAATAGTATGTCGTTTTTTTTCACAAAAAAAAAAGAAAAAAACTGGAAAGAATAATTAACTAATTTGTTAATTATTTGCTAATTATTAATAATACCTTTGAGAAATCCCATATTCTAACAGTACAATCCGTTGATGTTGTTGCAAAAAATGATCCATCAGGACTAATAGATATTGACGTAACACGTCTTTCATGACCTGAAATAATAATTTCAGACTACTTTTTCTTTTTTTCTTTCACTAATTTCACCACTTTTTCTTTTCATAATCTAAAATGTTTACAAAAAAAAGTATTTTTTTTTCTAATTTTTTTTTTTTTTTTGCTAACTTAAAATATATCAAAACTAATTTAGAAAGAAACACTTTTCACTATTCGATATGTAATAATTATTTAATTAAAAATAAAAAATTAACTGGAAAAAAAAAGATAAAAAAAGAACAATATTATGTATTATTTTTGAAGCAATCATTTTGTTGCAGTATTTGAAAAAGAAAAAAGAAAATCATTTACCTATGTTTAATTTTAGACATATTTAATAAAATTCAAAATCATCAATAAACCTTTAAATGTACGAATCAATAACTGCGATGTTATATGATACATATATACTAAACCAATTGATGATTCATTTCCAGCAATGAGTAAATGTTGATGATTGTATGTTGGTTGTAGGATCGTATATGATGGACGCCATTCTGGTAGTGTAAATGATAAAATCTAAACAATTATGATAAAAAAAAAACAAAACTGATTATTTGATATTTATTAAATTTCATAATTAACATACCCGTTCTACTTTTTTTGGTGGTATCCAACAAGTTAAAGGTACCAATAAAGGTTGATCATGATACCTATCAACCCATGACATCGCCTGTTCAACCATTATATTCAAAAATTGACTATTTGTTTCTGAAAAAAAAAAATAAAAAAGAGGAAAAATAAAATAAATAATCATATTTTATTATTCATTTAGTTATTCAATTTAATAAACAAAGATTTAGTTTAATAATTTTAATTATTTCTCAATCAATTTTTTTTTTTTTTTTTGTGTTTTCTTTCATAATAAATACTTTTAATCACAATAATAAAAGTTAAAAATTAAGTTGTAAATTTTTTCGTAGAAGTTTTTTGAGAGCTAACTGCTTGTATATTGTAATCTGTTGATCAATTCCGCAGCTAATTGATTATGATCACGAATAATTGTATTTAAGGAAGGAAATATAACTTGTTGAAATAGCACCTAAATGAAATATATGAATTTAAATAATTAAAAGAATTAGTTTTCTCACTTTTTTTTTTTTTTGTAAATGCCAAATTTAGTTAATAAATGTGACTAAATGTAATAAAGTTAAAAATTTGCAGTAATTGAAAGAAAAAATTAATAAAAAAGAAATTAATGCTACAGAAGAATAACTGATAAGATTATTTGGCGGACAATATTTTGTTATCATTATTGAATCCTATTTGAGGCTTATAAATTAAACATAAGTTTACAATAACCTCTTCTTTTTTTTTTGCTCTCTCTCGCTTACTTTTTTACTTCCTTTATCATGAATGCTTTTCTCCTTAGGTTCAATTCATTTTTTTGTTTTTATGATTGTCCATCTGTATGATTATTAGGTCAATTAACAATTCAAATTATAGAATAAATATTATTTCTCTTTTTTTTCTTTTGTCTCACTCTCTGTTTATTCCTAATTCGAAATAATTTAATGAATTGTTTAAAATACTTTAAAATAGATATTAATGAGAAAATAATATAATTTATTAAAAAGCAATTGGATTATAAAATAAAAAATGCCAATAATTTCTTAACAATTTAATGCAATACTTGCAAGTTATACCTGTATGTCATGGTGCAATACTTGCATGCAGCATTCTTCATAAATGCTTAGCAATAGAAAAATTCCACATGCACTAATGCATGCTTCAATATATTCGAAATGACAAAGTGCAAACCTTTTCAAATCATCCATATTACCTAATTAAATTTTGACATTTTTTATTAATTCTTGTTTAACAAAAATTTGAAAATATTTGTCAATGAGTAAAATATTATCGTTTTCAATTAAATTTTGAAAAAAAAAATTTTTTTTTTCAACTTCTAGATAATTTCAAGAAGAGAGAAAGAAACAATTAGAAAAGCTCTATTTTCAAGGATTATTTAATCTTTTGAAAAAAACAAAAAAATTAAAATAATTTACCGGTATGTAATAAATGATACCATAGGTTGCGTACTTTCCGTATGTTTACCGTACCGTCATCCTGTTTCAGTGGTCGTGGAAATGTTGGAATTTCATTTGGTGAAGGTAATAGTGAACAAATTGAATGAGTATTATTAACATCAGCAAATAAATGGGCAATTAATCCGTGAGCTTTTATCAGTTCACTCTAAAGTAATAGGATAACAAAGTTTTTTGTTTAAGCATATTTATCACAATTTGATTTTTAATCTATAACATTCAAAAAATGAATTAAAAATAAATTAACAAATGAAAAAGTTATCTTAGCTGCTAACGATATTAAATGGAAAATTCATTAGTAAACAAACAAGTAAGCAAACAAACAAATCTTCCTTCTTTTTAAAGCAAGAAAGTTTCTGGAATGTTCAGATTTTTTTTTTTTTTTTTTTAGCCATTAAAATTCATTGTATCATTTTATGCTATGTTAAAATAGACCTGATTAGTTAAATAACGACGACGAGCAATATTTATAATAAATAAATGACTCCATTTGTAAACAAGACGATTTCCACATATAAATTCAACAATAAAACATCCTAAATTTTACTTTTCAAAAGACAAAAAAAGTTATACAGTATGAAATCTTAACAAGCAAAGAAAAAATTGATGATAAATATGTAAGAATGTATCGAAAACTTTAAGTCTTAATTGTTAAGGATTATAAGTAACAACTGATCAGACAAACAAAATGGATGAGAAAAATAATCAAACAAATATTTGTAAACCGAGTTTATCAATAACTGAATGAAGAATTAGTGATAATGATGAATTTGCGGTGATTTCACTGTCCAATTCACCGCTCATTGTTAATGCATCCAAAATTTCCAACGTAGTAAGCCCGTATGGTGTAACAGTTAAAAGTTGCGCAAATGTTCGTACAAATAAAACACCATTGTAATTTTCAGTATGACAAAAATATTCATCGATGTCACCAACAAATGGACGATTAATTCCATCAGTAATTTGTTTTAGTAATAATTGAGCAATTATAATATTGTTGTTATTAGCTTCTACCTAAAAAAGAAAGAAAAAAAAATTAATGTGACGCATAAATTTCATTTAATGCTTAGTTAATTATATAACAAATTTAATTTGAAAAGTTGAAATAGCATTTTAAAAAAATTAAATCACCCAAATTAAACCAAAAAAAAAAAAAAGATGAAAAAATGGCGTACAATATTTTGTATTTCATCCATTTGTCGTTTATTTAATGTATTATCATCAATATTTAATTTGATATACTGCATGATGTCATCAGTGGTAAAATCCGGTAATTCATACAGGATAGGTTGTTGATGCATAAATGGTATTGTTTGAGGTTGATCTGTTGTACATATTAAAACAAGATTGGATAAACATTTCCGGAATTGTTGATCTAAATTACTCATCACTCGTCCATATTTAATCAAATTAACATCATCGATTAGTACAAATACCGGCCGATTTAGCTTTTCCAGCAATGACTTGAAAATGGCAAGTGTTGATGATAAATGAAATGATCTTATCAATAATTCCGTATCTTGACCCATTAGAGCACATAATGTCATGCATATGTTATGCCATAATTCATGAGCATATTCTGATGAAGATGTTAAATTAATAAACCTAAAAATTTTAATGATAAAATATTAAGTGCTAAAAAAAGAAAATACAAAAAAAGATTTTTGAAACAAATTTAACTAATTTCAAATTTTACATATCAAAATTGATATGTATTGCTTAAAATTATAGCAGGAAAAAATGTTTATTAAAAAATTCAACTGCAAACTATAATTTAAACTAAATAATGTTACATCATGTTTTATGAAAAAAAGAAAAAAGAATTCACACCTAATAATAGCATAACGATTTCTTTTAATTAATACTTCATATAATTGGCATAGAAGAGCTGTCTTTCCAGAAATTTGATTTCCTAAAATATGAAAGTATCCTTTGCTTTTATTGATGAAGATATCAAACATTTTATCAATATTTTCTCGTGCTATCCATTTCTTTGGTAATTGTCGTTCAGCAAATGCCAAATGTACATCATTTTCAGCTTTTGCTATAAAATATTCATCATTCGATGGCATTGGTGGCATACTTAATGAGGAAATGAAATTTTGCAAATGATTTGTTATCTGAAAAGAAAACAAAAAAATTAAAAATGTACAAAAATTTTATCAAGTTTTATAAAAAAAAAATTCTTATTAAATTATTCAATCTTTCCGTCTTTTTTTTTTCTTAAATACAATTAATTTTATCATACTATACTAATCTATTTTCAAAACTTCTTTTTTTCTTTTTTGTTTCAATATTTTTTAATTTTGTGAGCTACTCAAGTTTATATTGATTTTTTTTCTCGTTTTTTTAGTCAGAAATGAAAAAAAAAAAAAAAAAAAAAAGTGTAACCTCTGTTATGAACCATTTAATATAATTATCATTCTTTTGTGATTTATTTTCTTTGCTTTCATTTGATTCCATATTTAGCGAAATTATGGATGCTTCACTTAATAAAACTGTTTTTTTCAATGCTTCAATCTTTTCATGTCTTTTTGCAAAATCATTCTGTTTCGTGGCATCACTGTTCGTTGATTGTATATCAGCTATAAAACATTTTAAAAAAATATTTTAATTTTTAATAAATTGTTAAAGAAAGTCTTTTTTTTTTCCTAAAAATTATTAATTAATTATAACCTGTTGTATTTCGTAAACAAAATAAAACTTTGTTTGGTTGAATTAATGCTATTTGAGTAATTTGTTCAGCAGCAGATGGGAAAAGATTTTTTGATACTTCCGATTTTTCTTGCTCATTGTTATCATCTTGTGATATCTGAAAACAAAAAAAAAAAAGCAATTTTATTTACTGATTTCATCTTTTTCATAAAAAAAAAAAAATCAATCAATTAATTATTCACTTGATAGCGATAAACAATTGCTATTTCTATTACTTTCGTTTCCTTTTTTTTTTCTTTTAATTTAGAAAGTTTTCAAACAGATGTTTGAAAATGAATTAAACAAAAATGAGGAAAAAAAATAAAGAAAAATTAAAAAAAAAAACCATCTCAGCAGCTTGTTGTAAAATAGATGCGAGCTTATTTCGATCAGATAAATTAATGGGCTCATCCAGAAGTTTATAATCTGTTGATTCCATTTCTTCACATTGTTTGTAATACCGATAAAATAATTCAATTTCTAGAAAAAGAACTGTCTATTACTTTTTCTTTTTTGTTCAATTTAAGCTATAATATAAACATTTAAATTATATTATTAGTTTGCAGCAAATCATTCGAATTATCTAAATTTGCATATATGTTTTTTTTTTTTCCATAAATTCAAAATGTATAATTACAAATATTTGAAATTATAAAATTCAAATTGCACCTGAAACATACCATCACTTGTTTCTGAAAATGCTGCTTGAATTATTTGAAATTTTTCGACTGGAATTTTTTTCGGTAAAATGCATTTCCCATATTGATCACCCAGAAAACACTAAAAATCGAAATGATTGAATACATTATTTAAATATTTCAAAAATTTTTAATTCCACATTATAGAGAAAAAAAATTAAAACATTCCTGACACAATTTTTTTTTTTCACATATTTAACATGAAAAATTTTAATACAAACCATAAGATATGATGTACAATTGGAAAAGACATTAAGCATAGCTTCAAATGTTTCAATATCTAAATTATCAGTAATTGGTTCCACAAATTCAACATCAATACCAAGTTGAAACGCATAATGCTGTATATTTATAGCTACATCTTTCACTAATGCTCGATATTCTCGTTCAAATTCTGTTAAAAATAAAAAAAAAGTTTGAAACAAAAAAACAAATTTAAATCATTTAGTATAATTTGAAAAGTTATCAATGCTAATTATTTAGAAACAAAAAAGTTTTAATCGTAAATTTGGTAGCGAATCATTTAATTAAATTATTCATTTATAATAATATAACATTTATTTTGTAATATACATTAATTATTATCAAACAAACATTAATTTCATCCATATAAGTTAACCATTTCTATGATATATTAATAATTGTTAATTTTAATTAAATATCTATAAAAATATTTATGACTTTTGTGATTTAATCTTTTTTTTTTAATTTTTTATATAAATTATGTCAAAATTATACATAAATTATCGGATAAAAAAAAAAAAAAAAAAAGGAATGAAAATTAACAAAATATACCTTTTAAAGAAGGAAAAAAAAATATAATACGAGCTTGTTGTAATGTTTTTGCAGAATGTTTCGATTCTTGTAATTGTTTATCATTATTATCAGTTTCCGGGTGCACATATGTCGCACCTGATTTAGCATTGAGACGAAACATGGAAATTAGTGATAATTACGCCATATAATTCAACTAACCTCGTGACCATAGCAACATTAATATCTGGAAAAGACAAAATAAAAAATGAAAAGAAAAACTGTAACATTTTTTTTTTCGTTCTGAATTTTAATTCGTTTAACTTTTCAATATGTTAAATATATTATGTGGTGTTGAAATGTTAAACAAACAAAAAATTCAATACCATTTTACCCAAAGTTTATTTATTATTAATTAAAAAAAGCTTTAAAAAAAATTTTTGCATAGAAAACATTAGATAAATCATTAATATTTCCTCTTCGCTTATTAATAATTAAATGATTGATAAATTTAAACAATTTTTCTAAATATTCTCATAAATACATTGAATAAATGTAAAATTATTGTGTGAATTAATTTGTTTAATTCATTTGAATTAATACAGAATTATTTATTCATTTCCCTTTTTCAATTATTTATTGAACTTTTTTTTTCTTTTTTTTTTCACCATTTTTCTCAAAAAAATAAAAAATAGAAAAATAAAAAAGAAGGCCGAAGCAAGGCCTTCATAGACAAATTTTATTGTTGTTTTTCTCTTTTTTTTTTCTTTTCTTTTGTTTTTCCTTTTGTTTGTTTTTTTTTTTTTTTTTTTTTTTTTTTTTTTTTTTTTTTGAAAGAAATTGTAAAGACAAAATAGACGAGGCAAACACATAGCATTTTCATCAAATTTAACAAAAGACTAAAATAATTTTCTCTTTTTTTATTCAGAAAACGATTTATTTGAGTGGATAACCAAACAAGCTTAACATTCAACGAAGCATTAAAACTTTATTGGCAGAAAAATTTTTTTTAAATTATGGCTTAATTTTATAACTCAACTGAATAACAGTGACGTGTCATTGTTAAAAGTTGATTAAAAAAAAATTTTTTTTTTTTTTTTAAATATTATACTAATTAGTTGAAATGAAATAAAAAAGACGAGCAATGAATGTAAATATTGTTCATTTAGCTTGGATTCTTAACATATGAAATTAATTTAGTTCCTAAGGTGCAACTTTTTTTTTTTTTATTGCATTAAAACTTTACAAATATATTATTCGTAAATTATTTTGCACTAGCAAGTTTTTGACCAAAAATTAAATTTAAAAATAAAACTTAAGTGAAAAAAAATTAATTCCAGTGGTTATTTTTAATAGCAAAAACAAGGATATTATCAAATAAAAGCTTCATTAATTTTAATTTGAAGTGAAAAAAATTCTGCAAGTTTCTTTAATTCATTATTATCTTGAAATTAAATAACATCGAATATTTTAGCATCAAAATATTTAATCTAAAAACATTTATTTCCGAAATTTAGATAAATAATTGTGTTACTAAGAATACAATTTTTTAATTTCCTTTTTTTTCTTATTTTTTCTTTTAAGACTTCGAAATTCCGATTTCAAATTTGAATAGCTATGAAAAGTTTTGTAACTTTGTTAATTATCAATCCTTATAATTACTGATATTACTATTATCACTATATCATCTATAGCGACTAAAAAAGGGTTATTAATATCACTATAATGATTTCATTCCATGATTTAAATCTCCACTATTTCCTTCTTTAAATTTTTAAACCTTTTAAAAAACATTTTTCAAAAAATTTTTTTTCTCAAAGACCTATGATGATTGCAGCATTAGTTACAGCAAAATTATTCGATCATTTTTGCATCTTTTGATAAATCATTACTGAAATAGCAACCAATTTCATGTATTATGACATAAAATAACTATTAAATTAAATAATTAAATTATAATTTCTAAACTTTTATTCTTTTTTTTTCAAACTTTCTCTTCTATCGCTCAGCTAGAGGCAATAACTTATTACTGATTTATGACAGTCATTCGAAAATGATTGAAAATCAAACATTTATTTATTAAATAATTTCACAAAACGTATTAAATTGAAGACAGATGACGAACGTTTCAGAGTTTAAAAAAATTCAGCCTTAAAAAAACCTTTAAAATACTTTATTTAGCAATGAATTATGATTAAAACAAATATTAAATTAAATATTAAACCATTGCCGAATTTTATTCTATGCATACATATATAGTTCAAACCCTAAAATTTAGAAATTTATTTCTTGAGCTCAATAAAATCTAACGTTTAAAATAGAAATGAAACGAAACGACAATAATAAAAAATCAAGTAATGCTTTTTTAAAAAAAAAAAAAAAAGTTAAATAATCCTCATAGCATATTTGAAAATTTACATTTTTTTTCAAACAAAAATAGATAATAGAAAAATTTTTAGCAATACTTCCATTTCCTCTCTCTCTTTCTCTCTCCTCCTTCTCCCTCTCTCTTTCTGTCTTTTATGATATATTAGTGGTATTAATTTTGATAGCATATCTTCTCACTATATAGCAATATAAATGCATGATATTTTTGTAAAAATAAAGCAAAATATTAAAAAACTCGAAAAAAAAAAATACAATAAAAACAATAACAATAATATTTGGGTTTAAAATTTTTACTTTCAAATCCTCACAAAAGCTATTTTTAATCATTGAAGGAACACGAAAGAAAAAAGTGAAAAAAACTTAGTTATTAGATAAGTTGCTTCATCCTTTCCTTCCTTTATTCATTTATTCATTCCTTCCTTCCTTCCTCGTTATTTTCCTCCACCTCCTCTCTCTATCATATGCATTACAATACATTTTAATGCTTGTGCTGTTCATTTAACAGTGTAATGAACTTCAAACAGCTGTCAACATTTTTACAGATTTCCTTCACAAACTTCAAAATGCTTAGCTGCCTTCTAGCTGCTTTTTATCAATTCGCACTATTCTTCTTCTATTTCTTCTATTTCCTTTTCAAGTAAGCTAAATCATTTCTTTCCTTTTTTCCTCTTTCTTTTTTTAACCCACTTTTATCCCTCTCCTCTCTCCCGACCATTTTCCCGCTCCTCTCTTCCTTTTCATTCATTCGACTTATGTGGAATTTTCAATTCCTCCTTTTTATTTTCCTTTCATTTTTTTTCTTTTTTTTTTTTTGCTTTTCCAGTGCTAAATTGCACTTAATGATTTTGCTAGAGGTTTAGCTAAATTTTACATGATATTAATCTTTGATATTTCTTATTGTATGATTAGTAATTAACATGTTAAAGTAAACAAAAATTAATTAGCATATTGTGGTAAATAACATGCTAATTAGCTGTTAATTTGCAGTTAGATATTGCAAGTTTGTAAAGTATTTTGATCGCACTGCTTATGAAAGAAGTTTCAAATCAAATTGTTTTTTTTTTTTAAAGATAGCAAAATATTTGCTCCCTATATTGATAATAACAATAATAAAAGTAATAATAGTACTGTATTATCATTATTTATTATTATTATTATTATTATTGTTAACTGATTGTCAATTATTATCAAATTATTATATATAGTTAATCAGGTTCATATATATTATTAGCAGTTTAATTACTACCGTAAAATGTTTTTTAATAAAATAATTTAAAAAAAGCTGTCAATATCATCATAAAATCTAATAATTTGACTTTACTTAATAGGAAAAATTGACGCATCTCAAATGTTAAATAATATAATTGATATAGCATAAATTAAATTGAATGAAACAAATTGGATTGAATACATCTTAAAATCGTACTAATATACTATATACCGTGTGATATATTTTCAATTAGCATTTACTATTAATTGAAAGAAAATTAGAAATTTAATAAACTTATAGAAAGGAGCATTAAACGATCTTTTCACAAGTTAATAAAGTTAGTTTGTAGCAATTGAAAACAAAAAAATAAAGCAATTAGATATTTTATATCTTTCAGTTGAATTGTCCTTTTCCAGTTGGCTAGACAAATTACATAAATGTAATAAATTTTCTTTCATAAATTATAATGGAAATGAGAAAAAAAAGTTTGCCACAATTATTTCACTTCAAAAAAAAAAAAAAAAAAAAAAAAAAAAAGGAAAAGGAAAAACAAATTACGTCTCATTCACGGATCAATCGTTTGAAAAAAAAAAAGTGCGTCTCTCACTTATTTTTCCATTGTGAAAAAAAAATTTTTTTTTTTTTAATTATATTAGAGTGTTTTCAAATTTTCTTAGCCTTTTTTTTTTTCATAATTAAAAATGTATTACAAAAATTACTGAAGAAAATTTCAAAGCAAAAATATATTTTTTAAAATTCCAAAATAATTTTTTTTTTTTTGTTTTAATTACTGTCAGTTTTAATTAAATAAGCATAAATATTATGGGAAAATAATATTATCGATTGTTAATTGAAATTTTCGATTAGTCGAAATTTCCCAATTATCTTTTTTGCTTTTAACCTTATCATGAAGTAAAATTGATACTAATGCGCTGGAACATTACAAAGGTCAATTTTCAAGACTTCAGGTGATCGATCATCTTAGAGCATATCATAGAAAGCAAAATAACAATAACGGGAAGATTTTCCACTTTTTTCTTTTCCTTTTGAACAAAATTATCAGAATACGAAATGATGAAAAAAAAAAAAAACACATTAATTTAAAAAAAAACAAATAAAAACTTGCTAGATGACTATTTTTAAATATAGTTTAAAGTGTGAAGAAGTTATATAGATTAATTATTAAATGATCTTTAATTTTGCAAAATTATTTTAATTTGAATTAGTTATTTTTTTAGGAAAAGAAATATATAATTCTATAATTATGTTATAGAGGGAAACCGGAATGGCAGAAAATAGGACAAACTGAACGTTGTACAACGAACAATTGCTGCTTGCACAATCCGAAAGTGCAAACGGATGCATCCATTAGTTCGAAGCCAACTGAAAATATGCAAACCACTAATGAACAACAGACTAATTTTATCAAAACAGGAGTTATTTGGAGAGAAAATAAGCAAACAACATCATCAACAACAACAACAACAACGTCAAAATTTCAAAATTTTCAAAAAATGAATTCATATCAACAGCTAAGCGAACAATATGCCAATAAAATGGCACGAACGTTTCAAAATTTATACAGC